GCTCTAAAAGAGCACAGAATGTCATGATTTCAGCTCCCTGCCTCCTCTGCTTTTTGCCACCTGCAAGCACTCTTGGCCACGCCCACTTCTCCGCTCTGCACGCTGATCAGCTGCAGCAGGAAGTTTATCCTGCAGTATGGGCTGCACAAAGCTGCAGGAGGTGCTAAATAATTTAAAATAATTTATTTTAAATAAAGATTCCATGCCGATCGTGCGGCTCATCCATCAATCAGCCAATTGTGTGTCATGTCCAGTCTTATTTTGAAAAACCGCGATGGAGCGAGTCTGCGATAAACGACGAACCACGAAGTAGCGAGGGACTACAGTATAACTTTTACACAGGAAAATTACGATAACTTCACGCTTGCAACTGGACTGATAGAGCCTTCAGTAAACTGTAAAATAAAATAAAAATGTAACAAAACAGTCTCAGTTTTATTAACCCTTTTTAAATTGATACCTTTATGTGCCAAAAGCAAAGTATATATGTATATATTGGCTTCATGAATGGGCCACTGTTGCCTCACAGCAAGAATGTCCTGGGTTCAATCCCCATTTGGACCTGGGGTCTTTCTGTGTGGAGTTTGCATGTTCCTCTCGTGCTTATGTGGGTTTTCTTCGGGTACTCCTGTTTCATCCCACAGACCAAAAACATGCATGTTAGGCTGCTTCAGGCCCAGGCCTCCCTTGCAAAAGAGCTCTGATTTCAATGGGATTTTCCTGGTTAAAAAAAGGTTAATAAAAAAAAAGTAATAAATTGGTCTAATTCTCTGCCTCTACATACATGTTCTTAACATGAAATTATTTTGTTCTCTTTCAGGGCTTCGAGAGAAAATCCAGCGCTCACAGAGAAAAAGAAATCCAGCATCTGGCAGTTGTGAGTCCTTTAAAAACTTTTTTTTTTGTTTGAGCTTATATGGACAAAGCTTCTAAGGTGTTTTTCATTTGATTTGATTTTTTTTTTTTTTTAATCTTTTCTGGGATGTGCTAATAAATTGGCAGCTATAGGTAAATGTGATTTTATTGACCTTTCTAAAGTTTGGAAAAACTGTTTTTTAATTTTTGCCTCGACTGACACCAAACTGCTCCTGAAGAGTCCAAGTTTTGATGCATCTTTATTCACGGTTGTTGCACTGCACCACTTGTTATTACTAACTTAGACGAGACTCTCCTTGTGTCCCTGGGTTCTTCTTGTCTCCTGCCTGCTCTGTGCTTTTGGATGTTTTTCTATTCTGTCTACTCGTAGGGAGCTGCAGGTAGACCAGATGTACAAATACATAAAAGTGGTATTTTGCTTAATTCTTAAAGTTAGATTATAACTCCATATGAGTAAAGTTTTTCTTTCATATTTAACTGTTTAACTATCAGGATAAGTTCAGTGGAAAATATTGCTGAGTTACACTACAACTCCCAGCATGCTTTAATGTTTGTCATTGTACAGTAAATGTTGGTGACATTTGGTGTTCCTTTAATGTCTGGTTGGTGACCCCGCTACGTTGGTTTTTCCCTGCACTTCTGTGGCTCCATTCCCGTCTTGGCTTTTCTGTAACTTCACCACCTGCAGCTTCAGCAGACTGTTTAGCTCCTCCTCCAGCGCCCCCGCCATGAAGAAGGTCGAGTACCAGTCCAACGTGAAGTACAACACCCCGGGCAGCTTGGTGAAGAGGAGCAGCACCTTCTCACAGTTCCCCACGGAGAAGTCTAAGACGTTTGACTTTCTCAACGAGGGGTGAGCGATGGGGCAGCGGACACTGATGTACAGCGAGCGTCTTCATTAACCTGCTGGCTAAAAGCGTTGATTTCTCTCTGATCATCCTGTAGGACGGACCAGTGCAGCTCACCCTCGAGAAAGGAGCAGAAGAAAGCTCAGTACCAACAAGTGAAGGCCCACATGCAAAAAGAAGATGGACGTGTCACCGTGCATGGCTGGAGCCTGCCCAGCAAACACAAGGTGGAAATGAAAGCATTGATTAGTAGTCAAACAGATGGAAACATGGTTCAATATCTATGCGATGCATCTCAATTCTTTTATATTAGTGAAGTGTTTTTTACTTTAAAGCCATAAATCTTGATTAATGTGTAAACTTGGCTGTTCATCATCAGTCTAGGATCGCTGTCTTCATTGTGTTAATAGTAGGCTTTAATATGATTAAACTGTGTCCTGCAGTCTTAAAAAGTTAGATCAGGTCCTCTCGATGAGTTAAACAAAAATTGTAGAAATGTTTCGTCTTTCATCCGAAAGACTTATTCATTTTGAGAAACTCAGTCTTATGAATAGCACCTTCTCATAGTGGATCAACCAGTTTGTTGTTGACATTGAAACCAGCTGTTCACATGATAAAGGAGGACCATCAGTCTAACAATGGATCATTACTTAGTACCCTAATGGCTGCTTGCTATTCACAGGGGGCTGAGTGATACTAGCAGTAACAGCACTGTAAAGGTTCCCACAGACTCAGGCGTACTGTGTGTACTGTGTGTTTGCACTGGGCCAGGGGTCATTTAAAATGGAGTGTGGCAAAATGGAAGACTGTTCTGTGGTCAGATGAGTCACAATTTGAAGTTCTTTATGGAACACTGGGACGCCATGTCATCCGGACCAGAGAGGACAAGGATAGCCCAAGTTGTTATCAACGCTCCGTTCAGAAGCCTGCATCACTGATGGTATGGGGTTGCATGAGCGCTTGTGGCATGGACAGCTTGCATGGCTGGAAAGGCACCATTAATGCAGAGAACTTTGTTCAGGTTCTAGAACAACATATGCTCCCATCTAGACGTCATCTCTTTCAGGGAAGACCCTGCATTTTTCAACACGATAATGCCAGACCACATTCTGCAGCAATCACAACATCATGGCTACGTAGGAGAAGGATCCAGGTACTGAAATGGCCAGCCTGCAGTCCAGATCTTTCACCTATAGAGAACATTTGGCGCATCATAAAGAGGAAGGTGCGACAAAGAAGGCCCAAGACGATTGAACAGTTAGAGGTCTGTATTAGACATGAATGGGAGAGCATTCCTATTTCTAAACTTGAGAAACTGGTCTCCTCTGTCCCCAGACGTCGACGAAGGGGGGACGCCACACAGTGGTAAAAATGGACTTGTCCCAACTTTTTTGGGATTTGTTGACGCCATGAAATTTGGAAGCAACAGATTTTTCCCTTAAAATGACACATTCTCTCAGTTTAAACTTTTGATCTGAGATTTGTGTTCTATTCTGAATAAAATATTAGATGTTGGCACCTCCACATCATTGCATTCAGTTTTTATTAACAATTTGTTTAGTGTCCCAACTTTTTTGGAATCTGGTTTGTACGTGTACGCGGTTGTAAAAATGTATCTTTGCGCGGAAATGGCTTGCGGTCGTCCGCTTTGAGTCCACGTTGTGTCCCCTTGAGTATGTGCAGACCTCTGTGGAGTGAAGTACGCCTAAGTCTGTGGGAGCTTTGAGAGCGGGACAGTTGAACCTGGAGGCCTCCACCCCTGTTTAATGATGGACGGTTTCTTTTCACAAAGATGGCCTCCTTTACTCCTCTCTCAAACCATCGTTCCTCTCTATCCAGGATGTGCACATCTTCATCCTTGAAAGAGTGACCGCTGGCCTGGAGATGAGTGTAGACCGCAGAGTCCTGGCCTGATGATGTTGATCTTCTGTGCTGGGCCATCCTTTTGGCCAGTGGCTGTTTTGTTTCCCCGATGTAAGACTGATCACAGCCCTCCTGATACTGAACAGCATACACAACATTGCTCTGTTTGTGCCGGGGGACTGGATCTTTGGGATGAACCAGTCTTTGCCGTAATGTATTTTGGGGTTTAAAAGCCACTGGGACGTTATGTTTAGAAAATTGTTTCACTGAAACTCCCTCAACATATGGAATGACCACTGGTCTGGGTTCCTCCTTTTCACCTGATGGATGACTGGAGTCCTGTTTGGGTTTCTTCTCTGCTTTCAGGAAGGCCCAGTTAGGATATCCACATTGCTCTAGAGCAGGGGTGTCCACACTTTTTCAGCATGTGAGCTACTTTTAAAATGACCAAATCAAAGTGATCTACTATAAGGTCCCATTTACATGAGATCATCCTCTAGAAACGTCAGTGTTTTTCCCATGTTTATTGGTGATAATAAACAAAAGAGAGTGGGTTTACATGAAAAACACTAGTTTCCATGTCAGCCGGGTTGCCAGATAAAAAATGATGAACTATAGTACTGTGGCTTTAAAATGATAATATTTTGTCCTAAACTGTCATATGTGCTGAGTAAAGATATTCTAAGATGAGGTATTGTTTGTTGAACATGTACACAGAAAAGGAGAGGATAAATAAGACATTTTAAGTTTTATCTGGCAACCCTGAGCTGCATTCATCACGCATGCAGCGTCTGCATGATCACAGTTAGTCTGAACTAGTGAATACACTAACGTCTCTTTGGACCCTGTAGTTTATTAGTTTTGCTCCAACATGCTGAAAAAGGGTGAGTGGCACAAAAGTAACTCTCTGCCATTTATTATATCTGTTGTTAGTGCAGGAAAAACTCTGGCCTGCAGCCGCCTGTAGTGCACATGTGCAACTTCACACACGGAGAATTTCACGGGGTGGGGGTAAATATGGATAAATATAAATATTTTCCCCGAGAATCTCCACTCTGAGACCTGGTGTGAGAGAATGAGGGCTGTGTGGCTGCCCTGTAAGTCAGTCAAGTAACAAGTTTCATAGTGAGGATGGATGATAAGCTGACATCAAATATTTTTTTAATGGCATGCGATCTACCCATAATGACTTTGCGATCGACCGGTAGATCGCGATCGACGTATTGTGCACCCTTGCCCTAGAGCCTGTCTTGTGTGGGATTTCTCCTTCTCTCTGAAGAAGTCTTTCGGATGAAAGACAAAACGTTTCTACAAATTTTTTTTTTGAACACATTCAGAGAACCTGACTTAACTATTTTAGATGTTTCTACCTGGATTATTGAGCGTGCATCAGAATATATCCTGCAGTGTTTAAACAAAACCCCAGTGGTATTCCTTTACATACCTTTATGAAAAATTCTCCTGTTTATTATTACAACATTTACAATGGTGCAGCAGCCATAGATGAAGAAGGAAAGGAAGTTGTATAAGTTAAAACCTGATTTAATAGATAAAAAAACAAAACAATGGGTGTGTTGGTGGCCGGTTTAGACTGTGGAAGAACGAGCAGAAGAAAGCCTGTGATCTAAAAAGATGACGTGGAAATCTAACATCTGCTTTCCTTCTGTGTTCCCTAGAAGCACATAACTGAATCATTCACCGTGAGCTGAGGTGGAGAGGGAGGTAGTCACAGAGCTGAGTTGGCGAGTAAGCGTAACGTAGTGTAACTCCAAGCAAATGAGCTGCTGTCTCTCGCTGGTTTGACGATGTCAGGTTCATTTAAGGACACATCAGGACATACGCTGCTTGATTAGTGCATTTGTGAAGCATCAGAGGTGCCTTAAAAAGACGGTGGTGTGAAACTGTTCCGTGTGACAGGCTAACGGTACTGTATGCTCGGGTTTAATTTGAGAAAAGCTTTCCAATATAAAACTCAGGTCTATCATGATGCAACAATCGTGCTCATGTGAGGGATAAAGTCTTTGAGGTTTCTCAAATACATTCAAAATATTTAACATACAATCTTATTTAGTGGGCTGCTTTTATTTTTACAGGTTGCAAATGGGACCCAAGTGGAGAACAAGATCAATCTACCAGTACCAGTTTACCTGCGACCTTTGGACAAGGAAGACGCTTCTTTAAAGGTGCATAAATAAACCGTTCGATAAAATGCAGATTAAATCGTTAGTTTAACATTAAATTTATATTTATACCATTTTCTACCTGTTTCTCAGCTGTGGTGTGCTGCGGGGGTCAACCTGTCTGGGGGTCGAACGGTTTTCGCATCCGAGCTCAACAAGCAGACGAAGGGTTCACAGTGCAGCCTGGACCAGTTGGAGCAGGAGTCCAAGGCAAGCGCAGAGTTTTTTATAGGTGTTCAAACAGGACCATATTGTTGTTGTTAATGGAAACTTGTTTCTGTGTGGTTGCTCCAAGAACCAGGAGAAAGGTGAAAAGGAGCTGGTTCTTCAGGAGGACGTGTCCAGTACAGTGTGGGTGTGCATGAGCACCAACTCCTCCACCAAGGTCTTGGTTCTGGACGCCACTCAGCCCACCGAACTGCTCGACAGCTTTTACGCCTGCAACTCGCACGTTGTCTGTATTGCTAGTGTACCTGGTAGGTTGAGCGTTCAGTCATCAGTTTTATTTACTGGGGGGCTTTTATTTACGAGGTTCTTTGTGCTTTTTCAGGCGTGTTGGATACGGATTACCCAGGAGGAGATGGGGTGTCCCAGGACTCAGAGGCCAGCCAAGGTGATGGAGCGTCACTGGCCGGTAGCGTTGCAAGCGTGGGCTCGACAGGCAGCGATGGTGCCATGGCAACAGATGGCGTCACCGCCGTCGCTCAGACCGCCAGCTCAGGTGTCGCTGAGCAGCTGGTGGAGTTCAGTGCTGTGTCAGGCTCAGGTAGTTCTCTGCATATCATCTGGCTTGTTTGCCAGGACAGACAAGGACCACTAACAAGTAAACATACCACCCGGGTTACTTCATGTGTTGAGTTAGGTTTCCAAGATAAAGCAGGCTTATTTTGAAGCATGCCCAGTCACCATGGTAACCTCAGGCTTTAACTTGTAATGATAATAGATCTTATCTTTCTTTTATTTGTCTTTTTCAAGCCATTTTTATCCACACAGTGTTTGTATCTACATTTTCTTTTTTACCTTCACGTCTTCCTTCAAAAACAAATTCCAGTCACGTAGTTTGTTGTGTAACAGATATGAGAAATAAATCGATGTTGACCACTTGTTTTTCTAAACTCACTGTAGACTACTGAACAAAAACAAATGCCAAGTTTCTTTTTTTCAGATAGCAGTTTTATTAATGCTATAAAGTCAAAAAAAAAAAAAAAAAAAGCTTTTTCAGGGTGACTCGACTTCATTTCCAGACCAAGGACGAAGCGTGTCGAAGCTTTAATGAATTTCTGAAAACCAGCTGTTCTTAATGCAGTGTTCTCGTGAGGATTTAAGGAACGACGGAGGGAAAAAGTCTTTAAATCGTTTAAATATATGTGACAGATCACATGATGTACAAATACATATAAATGTATTGCCCTGTTGAACAGAAAACGGTCGAGCAGAAATAATAATAGTAAAAACGTTAAGTGAATCTGTAAAAAACGTAAATATACACGTACTTCTGAAGTGATTTTGTGTTGGACATAAAATGCTTATAATTTTATAAATGCATACATTGGGAGCTGATTTCTGAAAAATCTGTGATTTTTGATGTGCTTTTGGTCAAACCTTAATAAAGTTACTTTTTTGTTAGATCTCCATCGTATAAATTTCCCTCAAGATCTTGAATATTAACAAAACCATCAGCTTTGGAGCTCAATCAGGAATTCTTAATGATTTTTTTCCTGCAAATTAAAAAGCAGTTTCACTACATCCTTTTTTTTTTGGACAACCTTTTCTGGAATTATGCGTTTCGTTTCCCGCCACAGTCGAGCTGTCCAGAGAGACGAGTCCGGCCGAGGATGGGGTTCCTACAGCCGAGGAGGCAACAGAAGCAACTGAGGCGACCGCTGGTGCGGGCATGGAAGGAGAGGAGGAGCAGGGAGCCTATCCAAACCAACAGGGGATTTACACGGAGCATGTCTTCACCGACCCTCTGGGGGTGGGACCCACCGACTCCTGTCCTGCTGAAGCCCAGAGGTGAGAGCCATCATTTCTCATGAAGCTGGAACTGTTTACAAAGTAAAATAAAATTCTGTTGACTGGTCTGCCTTCAGGGGCTCAGGGCAGGACGGTGGGTCGTCTCTGTCAGAAGACGTGGAGACATCAGAGGGTGAAGTCCTGAGGACGAGCAGCGCTCTGCCCACCATCTGGCTCGGAGCTCAGAACGGATGGTGAGCGAGGTTCTTGCCACCAGGGGGCGCTGTTACTGCAGCTAAAATGGTCTTATCTTTAACCTGAAATAATTTGACACAAACTCAGTTAAATTCAACCTAAAATTGACTCTTTATCCTCATGAACTTTATTTCACTTTAAAGTCAGCTCTGTAATATAAACTACTTTTTTTAAAGTCTTTATGTGCACTCGTCTGTGGCAAGATGGAGGAAGTGTCTTCATGCCATCAGGCTAAAGGACTCCATCCTCAGCATAGTGTAAGCGTAGTTATTTGTCTTTTTTATTTGTATATCAAGCATACAGTGATGCAGACAGTAAAAATGTACAAAGGCTCATTTTGCCCTTGTTGCAGGCACGTTAAAGGGAGGGTCCTGGTAGCTTTGGCTGATGGGACATTAGCAATTTTCCACAGAGGCACTGGTAAGGGTGTAACATGTCACATCAGGGAGACATATTTAATATTTTCTCATAGTGTCATACATTTCAGGTGGTTGACTCTATTTTCTGTTTGCAGATGGTCAGTGGGATCTAACCAACTACCACCTGTTGGATCTGGGCCGCCCCCATCACTCCATCCGCTGCATGACTGTAGTCCATGACAAGGTGTGGTGCGGCTACAGAAACAAGATCTATGTTATCCAGCCCAAAGCCATGAGGATAGAGGTACAGTCATGTAAATCACAGCTCCTGCTATTCTGTGGCAACTTTAACCTTTTACAGTGTTGACCTTTCTCGTTGGAGCAGAAGTCTTTCGACGCTCATCCTCGCAAAGAGAGCCAAGTACGTCAGCTAGCTTGGGTTGGCGATGGCATCTGGGTGTCCATCCGCCTGGATTCAACTCTGCGCCTGTTTCATGCTCACACCTACCAGCACCTGCAAGATGTGGACATTGAGCCTTACGTCAGCAAGATGCTGGGTACGACCTCTGTAATCCAACATTTTGTCTTCTAGATTAGATGTTGCAGGAGAGCCAATCTGAGGTCATGAACATGTAGAAATCATGTTTTAATGTTCCTGTATTCAGGTTAGGGCTGGGCGATATGGACCAAATTTAATATCTCAATATTTTAAGATGAATAGCGATATACGATATATATCTCAATATATTAAGATGAATGGCGAAATACGATATATATAAATATTTTAAGATGAATGGCGATATACGATATATATCTCAATTTTTTTGGACGAATGGTGATATACAATGTATATCACATTTATTTAAGATGAATAGCAATATGTGATATATATCTCAGTATTTTAAGATGAATGGCGATATATGATTTATATCAATTTTTTTTAGATGAATGATGATATACAATATATATCTCAATATTTTACGATGAATGGCGATATACGTTATATATCTCAATTTTCTTTTAGGTGAATGGCGATATACGATATATATCAATTTTTTTTTTTTAGCTGAATGATGATATACAATATATATCTCAATATTTTAAGATGAATGGCGATATACTATATATATATATATCAATGTTTTTTTTTCTTTCCATAAATTAATAAAAATATATTTGAGTCACAGCTTTGTCCCACTTGTCACACAGGCACATTTATTAACACAGCTGTAACTGTACAAAATAAATGTCTAAAAAATAAACTAGTTACATTTACATTTATATTAAATACTAATCTTCTTCAGCTGTGCCACCTTCACGACGTTAGTAAGCGTGTGTGAACTGCAGCTGCAGCTCCAGCTGACATATAGCCGTGCTGTGCCTTATGAGAGGAACAGTGAGAGCACAACATTAATAAAGCAGCAGATTATCATAACGCTAAAGACACGGTTCCAGTCTCGAACGATATGATAAGTTGCTGAAATATCGATACAGACAATATAATCCCATCTTATATCGCGTATGAAATTATCTCGATATTTAAAAAATATCGAGATATCGCCCAGCCCTAATTCGATTCAACTTTTTATTCAGCACATTCCGAACTCTTTAATGTGTTCTGCTCCTGTGTGTTGCAGGAACGGGTAAACTGGGTTTCTCTTTCGTGAGAATCACGGCTCTGGTGGTGTCCTGCAGCCGCCTGTGGGTGGGAACAGGAAACGGAGTCATCATCTCTATCCCGCTATCTGAAGGTACAACCAATATTCTTGCAAATATTCAGATGAGAATTTGTGAAAACAAAAATAAGTTTATTTAAGTGTATGTCGACAACTTCACGGCGAATCAGATCCTCTGCGCTTGTTCTCATCAGCCGGTTTTATTTGTGTCTTTTTATTCTTCAGCTAACAAGACAACGGGAGTAGTGCCAAATCGACCCGGCAGCGCCGTGCGGGTGTACGGCGACGACGGTTCAGACGTGCTGGGCAGCTTCGTGCCGTACTGCTCCATGGCCCACGCCCAGCTTTGTTTTCATGGACACCGAGACGCCGTCAAGTTTTTTGTCACTGTGCCAGGTAAGAGACGAGGGAAGAAGATGTGATTGTTTTGTCAAAAAGACGGAAAACGATAATGATAAAAATTGCTAACAAAATTGAATTAATTAATTTTGATGCACGTTGAGCTCAGTAAAGCCTGGACTTCACAATATGACCAACGTGCTGCATCTTTTCAACTTTTTTGAGGCTAAATTTAAAATAATTGAATTTCTTTAACCAACTTTCCAGTTTTACTTTAGTGCTGGGTATAATAATATTTTCAGTCATGTACAGAAATTGTTGTTTGCTGCAGTGTAATCCAATAAAGCAAATAAATAAAACCTGCTAAACGTAAGTGTGTCCGACATTATTGGAAGGATGCCCTGAGGGATCGACCTTTCTGTGTTTTTTTCAAAGACAAGTCACTGATTCTAACGTTTATTTCATCGGTTTTTGCCCGAGACAGTAAGAAACAGAGAATAATTATTGGATACCTCATGTCAGAGATGAATATTTTCTTTTATTTAGTTGGACATTCGAATTTAGACGCATTTTCCTTCTTGTGCTCAGTAAAATTAAGAAAAGTGAACCCAGTAAATTATTCTCTGAGTACACAGCAAGTTTCTTAACTTTCGAAGTATTCGATTTGTTCATTCGTCCATAACAGCAGACAGAATCGTTTGCAGGATGGACCCAGCTGGAGGATTTAAACTCATTTGGAGACATCATTTCATAATGTTCAGATATGTAAAGTTGTTCCAACAGGGTTCCTACAGTTTTACAAAGTATGAAAAATATAACGTTTATTTTTATTTAGATTTGTTTCAGGTCTGTTTAAATATGGTTATAAATAAATGTGCACGTACAGTAAAAAATACCGACAGTCATCTCAGAGTCATTTAGTGCATCATCTACAGTCAAACAGGGTTTTTTTTTTTTGGCACAAATTATGTTTGTTTGGACAAAAGTAGTTGAATGAGAAACTTGGGAGTCTGAAAATGTCAGTAAATGCTTTTTGAATATATTGATCCTTTCTTGACCCGATGAGCATAATTTCTTCACATTTTTTGCATTTAAAGATATTAATAGTGTGAATGTTTATGAATCATTCACACTATTGTGATCTATTTTTCTTCCGTACATTTTTTGGCATCTTTCTCGTCCCGCAGTTTTCAAGTTATACATTTTTACAAATCATAAATGAAAAAGTTCAGCTCTTTCAGGACAATCCTGCTTTGACTTGGTATTGGTGCAACTTTAGCTTTTTGAAATATTTAGCCTTTTCTGCCACTTTTTACTCTGAAAATAAATTGAGCTCATTTCACATCCTTCAGATCTTTACATCTGTTTACAACCTTTTACTGCTCCTTTCACACTTTGTTCTGGTTCAGCTTCTTTCAGATTCCTTATGCAAATTTTAAAACTTTTTTTAGCTACTTTCAGCGGGGAGGGGTGGGGGGTGTTCAGCAGTTTTGTGCTCCTTTTAGATTTGTTCTGTTAACTACAACGTTTTTGTGCTTCTTCAATCTTCTTTCTGCTCATTTCAGCTTGTTGTGTTCAGTTTATTTTTGCATGATTCAGCTTTTTCTGCTATGTCAGCTACTATTTACCTTTTTAATGCTAATTTTAGCTTTTTCAGCTAATTCTACATTTGTTGCACTCATTTCAAAAATTTTCAGCCTAATTCAGCAAAAAATGTGTTTTCTCCACTTATTTCTGGTAATTTAAATTTCTTTCTGCTTTTTAGCTACTATTCAGTTGTTTGCTTGTTTTTTGTTGCTAATTTCAGCTTTTCATTAATTTTTCAAAATTTTTCATTTAATTTCATTTCTGCTTCTTTCAGACTAATTGGGCTTTCTGCTTCCTTCTGTTAATTTAAGCTTGTTCTAACTTTTACGCTACCTTTTCAGTATTTTTAGGTCATTTCAGCTGTTTTCAGAAAAAAATCAAGTTTGTTGTGTTAATTTCTGCTACTTTCAGTCTAATTAACTTCTTTCTGCTAATTTCAGCTTTTTATGCACTTTTCAGCTTTTTCTGCTATTTCAGCTTTTTCTGCTATTTCAACAACTGGTTTTTTTGCTAAATTTAGCCTTTTCAGCTAATTCCACATTTGTTTAGCTAATTTCAGCTTCCTTTTGGTAGTTTAAGCTTCTTTCTGCCTTTTCAGCTACTTTTCAGCTTTTTTGTTGTTGCTAATTTCTGCTTATTTAAACCCAATTCAGCTAATATATGTTTTATATTATATATTTTTTCTTTTCGTTTCTTTTCTTTCTTTTTTTTTTTCTTTTCTTTTCTTTTCTTTTCTTTTCCCATTATATATTTTTTCTGCTTTCTTTTGCTAACTGTTGCTAACTTCTTTGCTAACTTGCTAGTCAATCAGCAGCTTAAACTGGTAAAAATCCTTCAACGCTGTCACCAGGTTTTGACTTGTTTTTGCTTTGGTCAAGTTATGTTTATTAGTTTTGTTGTCATTTGCTCCTCATTAACCTGCGAGTCGACACAAATCTAACCTCACGAGTCAGTTTCCAAGCCTTTTGTATGATCTTGTTTTGGCTCCAGGTCAGGCGATGCCGCCTCCAGGCAGTGCAGATTCAGGCTCTGATGAACCGGCGTCTGAATCCTCTGATACGGCAGCATCCGAGCCCCAAACGTACCTGATCATGAGCGGAGGGGAAGGATACATCGACTTCAGAATCGGTCTGGACAACAAACTCAGCTCACTTATCTGTTTGTAAGATTTAATGTTGACGACGACTCCTCCTCTTCCTCAGGGGACGAAGGCAGCGAGTTGGATGGTTTGTCGGAGCAGACCGCCAACCAGTCGGCGCCCACCAAGGCCGAGCGGAGCCACCTGATCGTCTGGCAGGTCACCACTTCGCCTGATTAAAAACCACCTCAGACTCTTTCCTTCAAACTCCAGGACCGTCCAGCATCCCATCATGCCCTGCTCCGAGTTTTTAAGTTCCTTTTATTATTTCCACCCCTTTTACGCCTGCATAGACGATTACTTTGTTAAGAAAAAGAGAAGAAAACAAACAAAAATAATTATTTTTAGTGATTGTTTTGTACATTTGAAGCTGCAGGGTGTGTTAATTTAAAGAATGCGCCCGGGGCGTTCGTCTGCTGGGCTGCATGTCGCAACAACGGGTTCAGGTTGAGGCAGTTTGATCAGGTCAAAGTTTTCTAAAAATATATGGGGGAAAAATAGCTGTGAAAGAGATGATGTCTTATTTTTAGCAGTTTTGCAGCCAGTACAAGATCATCTCTTTATTTTTTCCTGATTTGTTCAGTCCGAGCTGAACGTTAAAGCCCACAGTTTGAAAGTTAAATTTTTTTTTAGTTATTTAGGCATTTAAAGTGGATTACGCTGCTGTTTTGTGTAGTGTTTTTATTCAAGAAGCAGCTTGCAGCGAGTGATGAAGCAGACGTCCTCTCAGCTGTGTGTTGAGCTCCAGGTAATCCAAACAGACTCAATTAAAGCTGATATGAGGAGATTTCTCAATTTTAAACTGAAACGTACATTTTATAACTCAAACTTGGCACTTTTCAGTTTAAAATGGAGAAAACTGAGAGACAAAATGTCCAAGAACAAGTTTGTTGGAGGTTGGAATTAGAGTTGGAATGCCACAGGTTTATGTTGTACAAGGGATATTTTAAGCACTTTGAATCGTTTTTAGTTTTACTGTGAATAGAAGGAGTGGGTTAGTGTTCGCCTACATGAGGAATCCTCACTAAAGTGTGTTTGTTCTCCTGCTCGGTCATTCAAGCCTGAACTTCTGCCCCGTGTGAAGGAACGGCTGCCAACAGCTCAGTGCTTCCTGCTCGCCTCTCAGCTCATCGGCACTTTAAAACGTTCGGTGTTGACTCTCGTAAAGTCCGGAGGAACATGCGTGTAAATAATGTAATCAGCACTGCTGTCTCCTCACTGTGTGATGACCAAAAGAAGGAGGAAGGAACCAGAAACTCGTTCATTTGGGACTCCAGTTTTAGAGTTCATTTGTTTATTTTTTTTAGTTTTACCAGGGACCATGCAGCACTAAAAGGAATTTTGTTTTAAGGCAATTTTTTTTTGTCATTTTTCCGTTGTTAAATTTTGTGTTCATTTGTGAGACACTTTGATTCAGTATTTTAATGAGTGACGTGTCACATGCTGCCATTAAGCAGATGTTTTCATTATTATTTTTTTATATCAAGCTTCGCCTAACGTCCATTTCCAAGCAGTAACTTCCTGTTGTGCGTGTGCCATTCCAGTATTTATTTTCTGTCGATGTCACGGAGCCCGTGTGGGTTCAGAATGTAACTTTCTACATGAACTACATCTATGACAGGAGGCTGCTGTGAACGACAGTCCAATGAGTTTACATGATCATAATCGTAGGTTTTTTTCACAAAGATCAAAAAACAGCGATTTTAGAGGAAAATAACATGTTGAGTCGAAAGCTATGCATGTTTTTTATTTTTAATGAAAACAGCTTTTTCATCTGCTAAATCTCAGTTTATTGCCACCATTTTGGGTGGGTGGATGACAGAGGATGTGTGTTATTTGTATGTTTTTCTCCAGACGCGTGTTTCACTGTTTGTTCCGCCAGTATAACCCCAGAGACTGGTCACATTTTAGCTGTAAGGGTTCTCCGGATACCGTAACAGTTGTTCCTCCAAGGAAATGTTTGCTAAAAATCGTATCATAGCCTTATTTTTAACAATCTATTAAACACAATTTTATGGAGAAGTTGCTGTAAATGTGTCTCATTCTTAATCTGTTTGAGTGGGTTTTGATGTGGCAAAAAACATCTCTACAAATGATGGATCTTACATAAATGTAGTGTTTGAAAAATAAGAGAAAGTTCAGGTAGAAGTGTGGTCTAGTGGAAAATATAAGCAAGTTCAAGTATCTTTATTATCTCCGAGGGGCAATTGATTCACAGTAGACACACAAAACATCCATACTAGACAAGACGGTACAGAAATCGTCATTGTACATTGAGAAGCCAGAGGTACAGGGATAAATGAGTTTTTCAGTCTGTTCGTCTCTGGGCTGCAGATACCTGCGTCCAGAAGGAACAACCTGAACTCACCATGGAGTGGATGATCAGGATCTGCCAGAATCAGCCTGGCCTTGTTCACTGACCTCTTGTGTAGGTCAGTGAGGTTCTGTAGAACTATGTCAGCAGTTTTGCACATCCTGACAATCCCGGAGAGTTCGTTCCTGTTTTTGCTTGTTAACAATCTAAACCAGGGTGTCAAACTCATTTACAAAAGGGGGCCGAAATTAAAACCTTTTTCAAACTTAAGGGTCAATTTCAGAATCTACATTAACTCAAATCAGATACCCAACATATTTTCTTGGTTCCTCAACAAAAGTGTGATTGGTCTCATTTGATGTTCTCTGTTGTGCTTTCAACATCATATTCAAATATTACTGAAAAAATAATTAAAAACAGAAATATTTTACGTTTCACATTAGGGATGCACGATATTATTGGCATGGTATCGGTATCGGCCGATATTGGCGTTAAAATTCAATATCTGACATCGGCCATTCTATTAAAATAACTCCGATATAAAAGGTGCTGTTTTTGTCTGTAGCGGCATCCAAACGCGATGACATCACGAGCGCCTCACGGTGGACAGTAAAATTCAAAATGGCGGTGTGGAAGTTTTATTTTTCGTTGTTGAGGATGTCGGATTCTGAAGATTTATTGACTACGTTGAGCCTCGCTACATCGTCCGCAGTCGGAGATATTTTTCCGACGTAACGTTACCCGAGTTACAAGCCGTCATTTCCTACGTCGTTGAGAAGCTAACAGCCGATAGCACGACACGTTGGGTGAGTTTTACCACAGAAATTTGGACGTCGTGTTAGCACCGTTAGCATGATTAGTCTTACGGCACAATGGATAGACAAAAACTTTGAACTTCAAAAGTCTGTCCTTCATGCACAGGAGTGCAGAGGATCCCACACTGTAGCTAGGAACCTGGAACAAACCTCCACAAGAGATAGCATCACAGGCGACTAATGCTAATAAATAATATTTAACACTTTTCACTTAATATAAGTTAAAGTGCTATGCATATCATATGGTTGTAACTGAATATATGTCACCAGCTCTTACAGCTGTTGCACCATTTTTGTAGCAAATAAATAAGAGGGCAATGTTCTGACAGGCAGCACGGTGGCGCAACTGGTAGAGCTGCTGCCTCTCAGCGAGCAGGTCCTTGGTTCAAACCCCGGTCCAGGGGCCTTTCTGGGTGGAGTTTGCATGTTCTCTCCGTGCATGCGTGGGTTTTCTCCGGGTGCTCCGGTTTCCTCCCACAGACCAAAAACATGCATGTTAGGCTGATTTCTAACTCTAAATTGTCCCTAGGTGAGAGAGAGAGAGAGTGAATGGTTGTTTGTCTCGTTTGTCTCTATGTGTCCCTGTGATGGACTTGCGACCCGTCCAGGGTGTACCCCGCCCCTCGCACAGTGATTGCTGGACATGGGCACCGGCGACCCCCGTGACCCAAAATGGAATAAACGGGTAAAGAAAATGGATGGATGTTCTGACAAAGGAATGTATATATATAGTATTGGTTATCGGCCAAATGAGTTTTAACATATCGGATATCAGCTAAAAATGCAATATCGTGCTTCCCTATTTCACATATCATGTTGGGGCCAGATAAGATGTCAACGAGGGCCACATTTGGCCCCCGGGCCTTGAGTTTGGCACATATGATCTAAACCAACAGATGAAGGTGAAAGTTAAAAGAGACTCAATAAAACATTCTCATAAACATAGAATCAACAATAAAACCGCAGAGCTTCCGATTCTCTGATGGACCTGCTTACAAAGTGAGCTCACATCATGTGCATCAACGGTCATCGAGAACAGTTCCCAGAAATGTATGTTGATGCACCACCTCAGCAGCGTCACCGTTAACGACCACAGGAGCTGCAACTGAAGAGTCAATGACCATCTCCTTTGTCTTAGAAACTTTAAAAAAAGTTGCCTTACCTGAATAAGAAACCAGAAACTCATTCATTAGGGACTCCAGCTGTTTTAGATTAGTTTATTTTTTACAGTTTTACCAGGGACCATGCAGGAAGTAATTTTAGCTCTTTGAACACCCTCATCGAACAAAAATAGAACGTCTTGAACCGATTGACAAGCTAAATGCTAGTCAACAGAGCGACAAGACAACATGAGTTGTCGTAAGATATAAACTATTCATTTAGGAAGTGACGTTCTGTCACATGGTTATCAGTAGTTAGCATAATTATCAGTGGTACGGTAGCATCAGGCATGGGGTGTGGAAAAATCCTCATCCAGGCTAATGGCTAGCCAAATGGGCACCCCTTTTGGTATCACATTTCAGGTTTTACAAACAACTCTTTCTCAAAAATGACATAATGCTACATTAGCTGTATGACACCATTTGTTTAGTTAGTCATCTGATATCTGGTACTCGGTGAGGATTTGACAGCCTGGTTTCTTCAAAGCTCTATCTGCAACAGATAAGATACTAATTGTTCATAACTTTTCTAATGAACTCCACTTCAAAGACCTCAACTACCTCTTTAAAAGCGTATCTGTTTGTTCGTTGTAGAATGAGAAGAAAGTCAAGTTATAAAGAAATCTGTGACATTTAATGTCTTCATCTCCATAAACAAAATCCTTAAATAGAAATAATAAAGGCTCCTTCAACCACCAGATGGCGCTGTATGTTTGTTTAGATGTTTATCAGCTGAGGGTGTTTCCTAAGTACAGAATGACCTTAAAAGGTTCAATGTGAGCCTGTTTGAGTAGATTTGTAATGTTTTTAGGGGCTGGGTTACAACAACACAGGTCAGGTTAACAGATTCATAGTTGTCAGGTCTGTTAGTGACCTGCTCACCTGTGTCACCCGCTTTTATTACAAACACCCATGATCAATAGGTATGTTTCAAAGGCCGACCGTCAGCCCTCTTGGCTGTGATTTCCATGATTCAAAACAGCTAAATTAAAAAAATAATAAAAATGAGCCCACGTGTTCTTGCGCTCAGCCATGAGGATGCTGTGGAGCTGGTGTTGATCCAGTGTCTTCAAACCTATCATCTCCTGTGACATCACAGCGTGAAGCCCACCTCACACCAACGTCTCTTGCCTTCCTACGCTCATGCAACCCTCCTCCTCTTCCTCAGACAAGCCACGCAGGCGCTGACATGGATGCTGCACACATTCACAGAGCGTCCTGACGTCAGAGAGCCAGAGGAGGGGCTCAGAGACTGAATATGAGCTCTGTGAGGCTGGCAGAGGGACTGAATTGGACTTTGTTGGGGAAAAAAAAAAAGAGTGTGCACATTTTGTCAAGTACAAAAGAGGGGGGTCTAAGTCACCAATTGGAACATGGAAGTCCTTCACATTGAAAGCAATGATTAACACGTTTTATAAATGTATTTCTTACAGAAGATGAGATATGCTTCTACTTTTTGCTGACATATCTTGAAACTTGTTTTAGGTAGAGAAAAAAAGAATAAGAATACACTGGGTGTAACAGACAGTTTGGGACTTTTTCTCTAGTTAAGCTGCAATATAACAATTACAATTAGTATGGCGCAATATATTATAGTACTTTTACTGTATACACAATGGTTAAAGCTGGAAATGTTTTTCTACCTATAATTCATGGCTCATTCTCCTGCTCTCTTGAGAAATTTTGTATTAGCTCATCATTAGTTGACTGCTGAGTTTTAACTGAAGCGAGGGGCAATTAAAATCTGCAATTTAACCTACAAAGCCCTCAACAACCTAGCTCCATCTTATATTAGAGATCATAAAACTTTGATTCCTCTTTTTTTCTGTATGGAAATCAATTTTTTCGGATGATAACTTCCTCTGGTATCAGATGCTGTGCAGCTGGAAGGATTTTTACTGAAACCTCTTTCTTTTGGACATTTGTTCTGATGCGTAACCATCACAACGATGGTGGTTTTCTACAACTGTGAGCAGCTGATTAACATCTTAAAAACTCAAATAATACCTCAGCTATAGCTCCAAATCCCA